GCAACCACATTGTGTGTCAGCTATGTTCAACGACACGTACATGAAGGTGCAGGAGGCAGCAGAGGACCTGTGGCGGAAGCAAAACTACGGTCCGTAAAGGGTGGTGTCAGGCAGTACCAGGCGTCGTGGAATGTGCAGTGTGCACGCCTACCATGATAAGCTGTTGGACGTCCATCTCCTGCTGTGCCTGCTCCAACATGCATGAAACTCACGACGCCTCGTTGCACCGACTTTCAGAGCTGTGTGCTGAATACAAGGACCGTCCCTTCCTCCCCGCCCCATTCATCCTTCTCGCGCACGTGCACATGCTCTTCATGCGCCTTCTCCGTCTGTGCGGTGTTCACACACAGGAGCACGAAAAGATCCAAGTAGGCACAAACCGCAGCCTGTGTTTGTGTGTGTGTGTGTGTGTGTGTGTGTGTGTGTGTGTGCGCGTGTGTTTATGGGTGTGGCTGTGAGCGTTCATACGTGTGTCTGTGTTTGGGTGTTTGGGTGTCTGTGAGCGCTTCTGCGTTTATGTGTGCGTCTGTGTTTGGGTGTATACATGGTCACCCTTGTCGCCTTGCCCTTCCCAAACTTTGTGAACTAACGCATGCCTGGCAAACCAAACCACTGCTTGTAGGACGATGAGACGAAGCGAAAGATCACCACCTTTGAAGAGCTCAACACAGACAAGTTCCTGCGGCGGTGGGAACGCGAGCGCCAAGAGATGTTAGAGGCGCGCGTCAAGATGACTAACGACAACGTAGTGCAGGCGATGGGCATGATGGACCAGCTGTTGGAGCACATGATCTCGTTCCGCTTTAGTCTCGACCAGCAAGCAACCAAGATCAAGCAGGAGATTCGTGACGATGGCCTCCCCAGCACAGAACCAACCGGCCTCGTCTCGCGCACCCCGTCCCAGCCCATCAACAGGCTCAACTCCGCAGTGGTATGTGTGTGTGTGTGCACAATGTGCGGGTGCGTGTTGCTGTGTGCTGCCCCATGTTCTGTGCTGATACTGTGCACGTGCATGAGTGTTGTACAGTGAAAGCGTGACCGCAAAAATGCATGTACATGGCAGCAGCAGCTTCTCGTGCTCACCAGTTGCTGTTCACCATGAAACTTGTTTGCAGGCTGTCCATGGCCACACTGCTGAAGCTGCTGAGTGGTATGTCCCACCGGAGGAGTATCCCAAATCTGGTGGCGTGAAGCGCTACCTCATCGACGCATCCATGGTCCCGTTGAGCATCATGTGCCCGTCGTACGACCCCGTCGAGTACACGCACCCGTCTGTGGCGGCGCAGCCCGTGTGGGCGGACCCTGCCGACCCGCGTAAGATCAAGTTCAATGTGAAGGACGAGGTGAACGGCAAGGTGGTTGATCGCACGTCGTGCCACCCAAGCGGCATCAGCATCGACAGCAACACCGGTCGCCCCATCAACCCGTGGGGACGCACGGGCATGACAGGCCGCGGCCTGCTGGGCAAGTGGGGCGTGAACCAGGCAGCGGACACGGTGGTGACGCGGTGGAAGCGGTCACCAGACGGCAGCATCCTGGAGCGCGACGGCAAGAAGGTGCTGGAGTTTGTGGCCATTCAGCGCCAAGACAACAAGATGTGGGCCATCCCCGGTGGCTTTGTCGACAACGGGGAGGACGTCGCCCTGACCAGCGGCCGCGAGTTCATGGAGGAGGCGCTTGGCATGGGCACCAGTGCTGATTTGATGTCTGCGGAGAGCAAGGACAGCCTGGCCGCCCTCTTCTCCAGTGGCACGATTGTGGCCCGTATTTATTGCGAGGATCCGCGCAACACGGACAACGCGTGGGTGGAGACTACGTGCGTCAACTTCCACGATGAGAGCGGGCGCCACGCCGCAAGGCTCAAGCTCCAGGGCGGCGACGATGCCGAGCACGCGCGCTGGATGATGGTGCACGGCGGCCTCAACTTGTTCGCCTCACACCGCACCCTCCTGCAGCATGTGACCTCCGCCCTGAACGCGTACTTTTGAGGGCCTTGACGCCAGCGCACGGATTTGCTTCCGTGTGATGTGCGTTGTGATGTGAGTTGTGATGTGAGTTGTGATGTGAGTTGTGATGTGATTTGCATCGTGATGTGTGCGTGTATGTGTGTGCGTACGTGGGAGTAGATTTCAGCCGACGTGATGCTCGGTGTGTGTATGTGTGTGTGTGTGACTGGGTATGACTGTGTTTCTCTCTGCTTTATGCTCCTTGGCTCTCTTACTTTGTCGTTTGCGTGAGAACAATTCATCGAGGATTAACATCGTGATATGTTGCGAACATCGCAAGCAAGAGAAGGGGGGAAGAGGTCAAGAAAAGCACGCGCCACGCATCATCACACGTCATCAAGACAAACAATGTTTCCATCGCGCATCAGGCAGCAACCAGGTTGAAAGTCATGCAGACTTGTGTATGTACAATGAGCAGGTAAAGCAATCAATGTGCTTGGTTCCCCAACACGTCAGCTGATGAAGAAAACTACAAGACCACACATGCGACTGACATGAAACACAGAGGGGCCGAGTTAGCAAGGGACAACAGCGCGACAGGCGTGGATAAAAAGAACGTGATTCACACAACACAACAAGAACTACAACAGCAACAAAGTGCTGTTGATAGCGGGCAAATGCCAAGGACTGCGGAAATAAGTCTGGTTTGCTCTTCTTTGAGTGTATGCAATGGGGGGGGGAGGGGAGGGGGCGACAAGTTGTGGTGACGAAGTGCGGTCAGAGTTGATGTTCCTCTCTCTCTCGCTGGACGGGGAGCAGCAACAGTGCGCGCCACTTTGTGGTTTGGGATGGTGGGATCCGCTTACATGGCGTGGGGGAGATACATGTACTCTGAATAGCGCACACCGAGGGTACCACTGCAACCAGACAACATCAAGTGAGGACGTGCAGGCGAGAGGTGCGTGAATGTGCTTCTGGTGCTTGCTTGTGTGTCGGTATCTGCTGGTGAGAGTGGTAAAACAACAGCAAGTGACACAGCAATAACAACTGAAAGTCATGAAAGCAATAACTTCTTGCTTACCCCTTGGGCTTGTCCATGCTGCGCACGCTGTAAGTGTTTGGTCCAGGAGTGATGGACGTGCTGCCAACCCATCGCGTCGCGTTGGAGGAGCAGGTGTTGTGTGTTTATATGCATGTGTTAGAGAGTGTGTGCGTGTTCAAGTGCATGGCGGAAGAGAGCACTGGGTGACATCAAAATGGCTGGTCATGTGCAAGACAGCACAGACTGTGACATTAAGGGCGTAAACTCACGACTTGTCGGCGCGACGAGATGTCATCACGTATGTAGGGGCACGACGCTTACGACTGAAAGGCCACAAACCACAGGTGTTGATGAGAAGAGACAGCAGACTTGGATAATTGCGCAAACAAAAACATAGGCACGACAGGACTCTTGTTCTCGCACAGACACACACACACACACACACACACACACACACACACACACACACACACACACACACACACACACACACATGTCGCCCTGCATCTCCCTCGTTCACCCTGGGTGCTGACCTGTCGAGGGTGACTGGGTTGTAGGTGCCTGGGGCAGGGGTTTTGGCGTGGTCGGTGTGGAAGCTGCCCGTTTTGAGGCGGCCGCTCATGGTGAAGCTGGCAGAGGACTGCTTGCTGGAGATGGGCCTGCAGGCACAGTGTGTGTATGTGTATGTGTACGCGCGCGCGTGTGTGTATGTGTGTGTGTGTGTGTGTGTGTGTGAGTGCAGGTGTGTGTGTGTGTGTGTGAGCATGAACATGTGCAGGTATGTGCAAGAATGCGTGAGCATATGCTCGCGTAAATGGGACATGGTGTTGATGAGGTGACACGAATTCGCGGATAATTTGCTGCACTGATACGGCCCACTCCCACATGAGTCTCAGCCGCAGGGGCAGGTGCAAAGAAAGAGCAGAATGCGGCATGAACAATGCACAACAGCGACCAACACTCAGCATGCATTCAACGTACGAGGTGCTCATGAGAGGAGGGAGCTTGTACGTGCCCGGGGCAGGGACTGCCATGTCCTTTGGCGAGCGGGGCCGCCCTCCCATGGAGAACGCTGTTTGAGCAGCAGGTGCATTCGTATGAGAGGCAGTGCAAGTGTCAGTGAAATAGAAAGAGAATGTGTGCGTGTCTGCGTGTGTGCGCGCCTGTGTGTGTGTGTGTGTGTGTGTGTGTGTGTGTGTGTGTGTGTGTGTGTGTGTGTGTGCTCTGTATGTGTGTGTCTTTGTGAACATGCCTGCCTTTGTGTGAGTGAGGAGAGATCAAGAACGCGTCAGGTCATCATATTGCAGTGCGGGGATTTCGACAAAGCAAACACCACACCTGGTGCGGTGCGGACGGTCGAGGCGCGATCCAGCGCTGTGGCCCTGTACTCCCCGGGGCCGGGTGTCTTGGGGGCCTTGAGCGGGGAGGCACGGCTGCCCAGGGAATAGGCAGGGGCGGTGGCCTGTATTCCGTGTGTGCCAGGCATGCAGGCACGTTGGTAAACGTGAAAGAACGTACTTGAGTGGTGTGCTAGATGCGTGCGTGTGCGTGCGTGCATGTGTGTTTGTGTGTGCGTGTGTGTATATATGTGTGTATGTGTGTGTGTGTGTGCGTGTGTGATCTATGAGCACAACCACATCTCGTATCTGCAGGATCTACGTTCACCTACCCGGCCACGGCTTGTCAGCGCTTGATCAATCTTGTACACGGGACCTGTATTGCACGCATCACAAGCATCCATGGATTGAGCCACACGCGTCATCTCCCCACATGCCCACAAGCCAATGCACAAGCAAATGCGCAGAATATTGCCACCACCACACCATGGAAGAAGGACACAGAAGGCACGCGCAATACGGCACATGCCACACTGCTTGTTTTCTCCTTGGCTCTCTTGTCTTGGAAGGCTCACCGGGGCTTGCTTCTTTGGGTTTTGGGGAAGCGCGGGTGCCGAAAGAAAACGACGGGGCACTCCTGCGTTGTCGCGTTTGCAAACGAATGAGGTTGATTTT